GGGAGTATATTTACTGCTTTGCGAGATGATGATCAGGCATTTGGACAACGTGGCCAATCCAGCGAAGTTGATGGCATAGGAGCATCACTTCAATGCTAGTTGTCTTTGCTTCTTCCATCACGCTGACATTTGTCTGCCTGTCTTTCCAAGAGATTTGCAGGATTTTTCAAAGGCAATGGTGATGGAATTGTTCCAGGAGTTGAGTGAACAGAGGGTGGTTCTACACAGGAACTATAATGCAATTTGAGGTTGCTGCATGCTGCAGCGCACATTTTAAAAAACCTAACAGGAAAATCCTGAATAAACAAAAAATAAATCTGCTGCAGCTGATCAAGGGATATCCTATACAGGACTCAAATCCGAGACTGAAAAATGCAGTGCGCTTGTCAGGACAACCATAGCAATGACACACTTTAAACAACCATACTGAAACACAGCTGGCCAGGAAGCAAACAAGCCTCCTTGAGAAAGGAAACCACATAATTCTCACGGGGACTCTAGCTTTTCATCCCTTACTTCTCATTTCCTGTGCCTTGACATGGTCTAGCATTAATCCGGGATGGATATGGATATGTTAATCAGTGGAGTAGATAAGAAAAAAAAATCCTGGGTTCACTTCCAATCTGCAAACAGTGGATACTGTAGCCACCGTTCAAGCCTCAAGCCCATTCCTGAAGCCATTGTGTAGGCACTCCTTTTAATCCACTTCCAAACTCAGATTTTCCTGTGTATAATCGCAAAGAATGGTTCTTTCCCACCCAACTTACACAATTTCTTGCATACATTTTAAGTCACATTTTAATATCAGTTATTTCATTCATGCATAAACTGCAATAGTATATCTGTCTTTTCCTTTAACATTTTAGAATCACTAAGGGATTGATGACTGTTATCAGTGCTTGGTATTTAATTCAAAACTTTAATCCATTAGGAATTCCATATAATACTTCAGAAACCAAAGCAATCAAAATGAGTTATGAATAGATACTTTCATACCGTGTGTACTATGGCCTGGGGGCACTTGAGTAACTACTAGCCTACATGGTAAAAGAACCGGCTATCTTAACAATCTTTTCTCTAGAGTGGGCAGGTAGCAGAAGCAGCTGAGATTATGCAGTCTTTGCTGTACCGCTACTAGTCTGTTCACAATAGGACAAAGGCTTACAATGAGTTCTTAACAATGACACTTATCTGTGTCAGCTACACAGTTTGCCGTGATGTAGGTCTTTCTTGATGTGTGTCCCATTGCATGAATTCAGTGACGGGGCAAATCTGTAGCCTGAAAAGCCTGTTCATAGCATACTCTCCAAGATTTTGTAGATGAAAACTGGGAAACATGTGTCCAAGCAATATTAGAATCAGGTTAAGATGCCAACAGTTATTGATGAGGAAGAACACACAAGTTAGGAGAGGAGGAAGCAGTTTTCTTTGGCTTGAGTCTGTTGGGAAGGGTAAGGCTCCCCCCCCCCCCCCATCTCTTCTCTTCCTTGCTGAGTCAACCAAATGTAAACTACTTGGACTTTGAAATTAGTTTGTACCAATCGAAGTAAACTGAGGGTAAAGGCGGAAATTGGAAGGAGGAAAGAAAAACTGGGACCTTTTAGGTTCTCGCCACACTTAACAATTTAAGAGGCCTAGGATGCCAGTTGAGGGGCGGATGGGCACACAACCCATCACACGACGTCCCTCAACTTCTAGCTGAGGCTCCACTCCCACTGATGTGGAAGCATTCTAGGATCCTTCCTTGTCAACACGGGAAGGGTTCCGTGTTGTGCTGACTCCAATGGAGCCAGCATACTTCTGCTCTGGTTGGGTGACATTTCTACCAAGTGATGGGAGAAGCATTGGCACATTGGAGTGCTTGCCGAAAAGGCATGGTATGTGTGTGTGTGTGATAAGGTCCATAAAGGCAACTGAAAAGGTGCAATAACAAACAATGAATTGGGGCTGTCCCTGCCAAATTATTTATGTTGCCAGCTATATTGTCATCGTGACCAATTGCTATGGTGAATAACTTACTGGGAAGAGTGATCTGATGATAATACCGTTTTATGAAGTCAGTTTGTGGTCTGTGAAAAACAAAAAGAAACACTGTACTCCTTTTTATCATTCCTATTTTGGGAGCATAGTACCTTGCAGATGTAACTGACATTAAGAAATTTGTGACCTGTTTCCATCTCTCAAATAGAGAATAAGTCTAAAAATTAAAAACCTTATGAATAGAAAAACAGCATTTTTACACAAAGGTAATGATAAGGCCACAGAACAGAAGAGAAGTTGAAGGGAGCTGAAAGTAGTTTGCTTTCCATATTATACAGTTTTATTTATTTATTTATTTACTTTATTTACTTTACTTATATACCGCTGTTCTCAGCCCGAAGGCGACTCACAGCGGTTCACAACCAATAAGAACAGCAAAAATTCAATGCAACAGTGTAAAAACAGTTAACAACTTAGCTTTTATCTTTGAGACTGGGCAACATATTGGTCCTAATCCCAAATAAGTGTATTAAGCTGATGCAGACTGGTTTGTGTGAACTGTGGATTAGAATGCAATGGCTCACTTCCATTTCCAAGCAGAACAGACACACAAGTTGCCTTGGAGAGATCCAGAGATAAGTGGGAAATTCCCCAAATAAGTGGAGGGAACAACAGAATACCTCCAGCACAACCATATAAGGAAGTTCCAAAGACATGCAATGCAGAATGGGAAACATGGGAGATAGACTTTGTTCACTACAGCTTCCTTGTGGAATCTAGGCTGACAATTCTACCAGCACTCTCCAGTTAATCTTCTTTATTGGCAGGATTATGTGAGGTCACTGAAGTTATATAATCAATTATATATAGGGTGGAGAGAGAAGTTTCCAGTGGAAGCACAAATCATCATATGCCTTGAGAAGGACCAGGGGGTCATTAGGGATTTCATCCGTTGCTGCAATAAAGTGTTGTTTCTTCATGCTCTGTGTGTGTTTTTTTAGTGCTGCACCACTCAATTTAATGTGCTGCCTTTTTTATTATTTCAGAAAGCAACTGATGAAAGAAGCCACTCTTCAAATACACTGCCATTTCATTATCATTAGCATATATCCTAGTTAAACTTTAGCTGATGGATGCTCTGGGGGACAGCACCAGAACAAATATAGCATGAAATGAACTGCCAAGATGATCAGTCAACAGCAGCTTTTAAGAACTGGGGTTTTGTTTAATTGCTAAATTTACAGATGACTAGCACAAATATTGCTCGAGTTACTTGCTTGACATAGTCTCTCTGTAGGGCTTACCATATCCCCAAATGTTATGGAGATGTCTGAAAAATGAGAAAACACAGGGTTCTTTTTGTTCTCAGGGCAAATTAGTGAGGAAGGACGTGTGATTCAGCCTCCCAGATCTGAATTTCCGTTTTGGAGCCTGGGTGGGAATGGCTTTGATTTGAATCAACACAGATTGAATCAGGCCCAGATCTTGCTCACTGAGGCCCCTTCCACACAGCTGTATTAAATCCACATTGAACTGGATTATATGGCAGTGTGGATAAAGATAATCCAGTTGAAAGCAGACATTGTTGGTTATCTCTCTTGATATTCTGAATTATTTGGCTGTGTGAAAGGGCCTTGAGGCCCCTTGCACACCGCCCCTAGATCCCAGGATCTGATCCCAAATTATCTTTTTATCTCTGAATATTTGGCAGTGGGAAGTAATATAATCCAGTTTAAATGAGATAGGTTGTTGTGAGTTTTCTGGGCTGTATGACCATGTTAAAGTGGCATTCTCTCCTGATGATTCACCTGCATCTGTGGCAGGCATCCTCAGAGGTTGTGAGGTCTGTTAGAAATTAGAAAAATGGGGTTTATGTATCTGTGGAATGTCCAGGATGGGGGAAAGAGCTGTTGTCTATTTGAAGTAGGTGTGAATGTTTCAATTGGCCACTTTGATTAGCATTGAATGGCCTAGCAGTTTCACTTTCTCCCACCGTGGACATCCCAGAGATATATAAACCCCATTTTTCTAGTTTCCAACAGACCTCACAACCTCTGAGGATGCCTGCCATAGATGCAGGCGAAACATCAGGAGAGAATGTTTCTGGAATATGTCTATACAGTCTGGAAAACTCACAATGATCCAGTGATTCCGGCCATTAAAGACTTTGACAATACATTAAATCAGATAATTTGGGATCTGATCCTGGGATAAAGGGCAGTGTGGAAGGGACCTGAATTGGATTCTGAATGAGGAGATCTAGCCATATCCCCACTTTACCTCACTGTTGCCTCTAGTTAAATAATTTTTTAGGTTTTAAAAATCATAAATTAATTTACTAAACTCTATTTATCAGAACCCATAACATGCTTGTCTTTCAATCTTTCAAACCAACTTTAACTTTGAAGGAAGAAGAAAGAAATGTTATTGGTTTAAGTCAGATCATTATGATGCCATACTATTTTTGCTCCACTGCAGCATTGGCTGGTTTATTCCTAATTTGTTTAATTGAATACTGGAAATCCTACTAAGAAAATGACTTACAAACCACTTGAGTGTATATGACCATTATTAAAATCTGACGTTTTGACTCTGAATATACAAAAGCAACTTGAAGGTTGGATAATGTACAGTAGAGTCTCGCTTATCCAACCTTCGCTCATCCAATGTTCTGCATTATCCAACATGTCTGCTTCCTGCCCAGATCCACAGCTGTTTCAATACATTGTGATGTTTTGGTGCAAAATTTGCAAATATAGTAATTACTACATAACATTACCATGTATTGAACTGCTTTTTCTGTCACTTTATTGTAAAACATGATATTTTGGCACTTAATTTGTAAAATCATAACATAATTTGACATTTAATAGGTTTTTTCTTATTTCCTCCTTTTTTATCCAACATTTTTGCTTATCCAGCATTCTGCCGGCCTGTTTACATTGGATAAGCGAGACTCTACTGTACATTGTAATCTCACACTGTCCTTTAATTACACATACTGCTTTTTTTAAATACAGTGGCATTAAATTTCCAAACACCTGGACTACAAATGGATCTTCAAACTGGGAAATTTTTAGACAATGGTGGTTCTGGATATATTCTAAAGCCAGAGTATCTCAGAATGATGGACACAGAGTTTTCACCCTATGCTCTTGCTACAAATCGTGTACCAGTTGTTCTTACAATAAAGGTCAGTTCGATTTGTTGAAAATGCTTTTTTGGCTCATTTATGAAAACATTTAATTTTTACAAATATTTACATAGATGTTTTCTTAATGTTTATATCCCCTGTGCTTGCAAAGCATTTCAATTCACTTGTGCTTAATAACTTACTGGTATAATTTAACCAGAAGTGTTCCTATATTATTATTTATGCATAATCGCCAACTTTTGAAAGATATATATGTATAAATGCATAATTAGCAACTTTCTGAGTTCTAAACAAGATCCAATTCATCTTTATAAGTTCAATTGTGAAATATCAAAGACTGTTTCATATGCTTGGCCATAATCTTGATGAATATATTAACATTAGATTAAGAAAAACAGCACTCGAATTATGTTTGAGAAGGACCTGAGTCAACTAATCAGTTGATTGTGAAAAGATGTGCCTATCTTATTAAATTTTAGGAGTAAGTTAAAGAAATGTTTTCTTTTGCTAAGCATCTTGCAGCATTTGCTTTGATTGTATGGTAGAGTCTCACTTATTCAACATAAACGGTCCGACAGGACGTTGGATAAGCGAAAATTGTTGCCAGTGGATAATAAGGAGGGATTAAGGAAAAGCCTATGAAATGTTCCAAATCTTTATGAGATGTGAAATTCATTGGCTTTCTGAGGCTGAATCTAGACTGCCCTTATCCCAGAATCCGATCCAAGATTATCTGATTATCCGACCTAGATTATTTGGGCCCCTTCCACACAGTTGAATAAAACCCCACATTATCTGCTTTGAACTGGAATATATGGCAGTGTGGACACAGATATCCTAGTTCAAAGCAGTTGTTGTTGTTGTTCATTTGTTCAGTTGCTTCCAACTCTTCATGACCTCATGGACCAGCCCACGCCAGAGCTCCCTGTCGGTCGTTACCACCCCCAGCTCTTTCAAGGTCAATCCAGTCACTTCAAGGATCCCATCCATCCATCTTGCCCTTGGTCGGCCCCTCTTCCTTTTTCCTTCCATTTTCCACAGCATAATTGTCTTCTCTAAGCTTTCTTGTCTTCTCATTATGTGGCTAGAATACTTCATCTTTGTCTCTAATATCCTTCCCTCCAATGAGCAGTCGGGCTTTATTTCCTGAAGTATGGACTGGTTGGATCTTCTCGCAGTCCAAGGCACTCTCAGAACTTTCCTCCAGCGCTACAGTTCAAAAGCATTTATCTTCCTTCGCTCAGCCTTCCCTATGGTCCAGTTCGCACATCCATAGGTTAGTACAGGGAATACCATTGCTTTAACTTATACTGATCTTCGTTGCCAGTGAGATGTCTCTACTCTTCACTGTTTTATCGAGATTGGTCATTGCTCTCCTCCCAAGAAGTAAACGTCTCCTGATTTCCTGGCTGCAGTCTCCGTCTGCAGTCATCTTTGCACCTAGAAATACAAAGTTTGTCACTGCCTCCACGTTTTCTCCCACTATTTCCCAGTTATCAGTCTGGTTGCCATGATCTTGGTTTTTTATGTTTAACTGCAACCCAGCTTTTGCACTTTCTTCTTTCACCTTGATTAGAAGGCTCCTCAGCTCCTCCTCAAAGCAGATATCAAAGCAATATCAAAGCACTATCAAAGCAGATGAGAGAAACCATCCTGTCCTCTGGAAAATATGATACAAGATTCAGACCTCATTACTAAATTGCACACACACTTTTAGCTGTCTATTCCTCCATGGATTCAAGCAATATTCTTTGGAAAGTAGTGTGGGATTTTTCTGCCTTGATATTCTGGAATATAGGGCTGTATGGAAGGGTCCTGGCAGTGTAGATTCATATAATCCAGTTTTTTTTGTTGTGTCAGGAGTGACTTGAGAAACTGCAAGTCGCTTCTGGTGTGAAAGAATTGGCCGTCTGCAAGGACATTGCCCAGGGGACGCCTGGATGATTTGATGTTTTTATCATCCTTGTGGGAGGCTTCTCTCATGTCCCCGCATGAGGAACTGGAACTGATAGAGGGAGCTCATCCGCCTCTCCCCGGATTCGAACCTGCGACCTATCGGTCTTCAGTCCTGCCGGCACAGGGGTTTAACCCACTGCGCCACTGGGGGCTCCAAATATAATCCAGTTCAAAGCAGGTAATCAGGGATCAGATCCTAAGTGTGGATCCATCCTTAGTTGTGATGCTAGAATAGCATTGAAATCTCCATGGAAGAGAGGATAAGATGTTCATGTAGTCCATTCATTTTCAGTTTACCACATCATTAACTATAACTGTCTCTGGCTTGGTACTTTCCAAAGAATACTGCTTGAACCTGTGGAGGAGTAGGCAGCTAAGAGTGTGTATTTAATTTAGTAATGAGGTCTGAATCTTGTATCATCTTTTCCAGAGGACAGGATGGTTTCTCTCATCAGTTATTGTTTTCTTGATGCCAGGATCAACTAGCTTATTTTTCATCTATAACCTATAAATATTATTTGTATGCGAAACCTTGGAGAGTTAGACCTTTTAGTTCAAGCTACAATGCTCACATATAGCAGCGGTACTAGAAAATTGCCAGTGAGAACTAAAATAAATCACACCGGCTTGATTTATTATCTGCAATATATCCTTGCACTTTTCTCTGCTTGCTGTTAGAAATAAATACTTTGAGTACCACAGATGCTGAGACTAGCTTCCAGCAAATACTATTTAGTCATCACAGACATTGGACAGGCTATTAAATGCCACTGCTGTTGTTTTATATCTGGTTACATAATGTGCATTTTGCCCAGTGTTTGAAAACATGTGACAATTGGGTAGCTTTGTGTATTGATTAAATTACAAAACTTCTCCTGAAAGGTTTATCCTTCCTCAAACGAGGAATTCAAAAATAGCTGAAATATTAATTTGCATTTATGAATTAAATACATTTTTCATCTACATTTGAACCATTTCTCTGTTCTATAGCTACTGATTTGTATGATTCAGGGGCAGATATTATGAAACAGATGCTATAAAATAGTAGATACCAACTTTGTTAAGTTCACCAGACTTCGAACCCTTTAGTTTACAGTAACTGATGGTTTCTCTATGGAAACTGATCTTGTTCAATTGTTAATTCTGTGATAAACCTACTAAGTTTCCCTAAACAAGGATGTATCCTTTCAGACCCAGGCCCCTTCTGCACTGTCATATAAAATCCAAGTTATCTGCTTTGAACTGGATTATATGGCAGTGTAGACTCATATAATCCACTTCAAAGTAGATAATATGAATGATCTGCTCTGGTAATCTGGGTTATATGGCAGTTTAGAAGGGGCCCCAGTTCCACATCTGCAGGGCAGGTTTAATAATACTTACTGGTTTTAAATTGTTGCAGAACTAGCTTTAAATATTTCAATAATACCTACAAGTTCAATTAAATATATATAGATATATTAGGCCATCAGTTGGGAGATATGGACTGTGCTTCAACTAGATATAGGGCCCTTTACACTGCCATATAATCCAAAATATCAAGGCAGATAATCCACCGCTTTGACCTGGATTATCTGAGTCTACACTGCCATATAATCCAGTTCAAAGCAGATAACTTGGATTTTATATGGCAATGTAGAAGGGGCCTAGGTCTAAAAGGATATATCCTTGTGTAGAATGGGTAGTAGAGTCACTGGAATTTAGAATATAATAAATGTCCCATGTAAAATAATAAATAATTGAGGACCAAACCTGACATTAATGAGAACTGTTTCCTGGAATGTGGCAATGATGAATTAGCAACTGTTTATTTCATTCTCTTCTAGTGGTTCCTCTCCCCATCTCAAAATTGCTTGTCCCAATTACTCTTCCACATAATCAAAATAAGGAATAGGTTGTAGGTGGAAAAGATATTTGGGCCATTCTCCACTAAAGGAGAAGCTGAGAGAAAGGAGCGGTCTCTTTCTCTTGCTCCAAATAGCAGCCCATTCTTATTCACATCTGCTTTAATTAAAAACAAAAACAAATAGGTGCCTTACACAAAGCTGCTCTGTAATGTGTAATTTAGACCTGAACAAAACCAAATTGAAAATGCCTTTGTTGTCATTTCAAAGATGCTTGCTAAAATATATGGAAATCTGATTCTATTCATGTTTAGTCTATTGTTAGCATTCGCCTTTTGCAGTACGAAGCAGCAATTTATTGACTTAAAGGCACTGTTCTCCCCTGTTCATATTTTGAAGTTCCTCTGCTAATGGAGATCACAGTTATTTCACACCTTCATTGTGTTCATAGTTTTGGTAGCCATTTTTGTCACCAAGTGACCAACTTTGTTCTGATTCCATTCTTACCAAGAAATGGTTTTTGGACAGCACACATCAGAACATTAGCAGGGCTGGGTTGTTGTAGGTTTTTTTGGGCTATATGGCCATGTTCTAGGTGATACCTCTGAGGATGCTTGCCATAGATGCAGGCGAAACGTCAGGAGAGAATGCCTTTAGAACATGGCTGGAAAAAACCTACAACAACCCAGTGATTCCAGCCATGAAAGCCTTCAACAATACATTAGCAGGGCCACATTTGAAGCCTTATTAGTGTAATAATACAGCCCTGGTGATGCAGTGGGCTGCTGAACTTGCTGACCAAAAGGTCAGCTGTTCGAATCCAGAGAGCAGGGTGAGCTCCCGCTGTTAGCCCCAACTTCTGCCAACCTAGCAGTTCAAAAACATGCAAATGTGAGTAGATCAATTGGTACTGCTCTAGTGGGAAGGTAACACTGCTCCACGCAGTCATGCCAGCCACATGACCTTGGAGGCATCTACAGACAATGTGGGCTCTTCGGCTTCGAAATGGAGATGAGAACCAACTCCCAGAGTCTGACACAATTAGACTTAATGTCAAGGGGAAAGGCTTACCTTTAATACAACCTTCTAGGGCTTATACTCCATTGAACTAGTGTTCAAAAATTCATGGTCACCTCCATAATGAGGCAACCATTGAATGCTTTCTCTTGATAGTACTGAGCAAATAGTACTAGTGTAACATTTTAGTAACTGTATGATAGGCTTCCCTGACCATTTTTCAATGGTTACCATAATAACAGGGGCTGTGGTGATTCAGTAGGTTAAACTGCTAAGCTGCTGAATTTGTTGACCGAAAAGTTGGTGGTTTGAATCCGTGGAACAGGGTGAGCTCCCATTGGTAGGCCCAGTTTTTGCCAACCTAGCAATCTGAAAACATGCAAATGTGTGGAGATCAATAGGTACCTCTTTGGCAGGAAGGTAATGGCACTCCATTCAGTCATGCTGGCCACATGACCTTGGAGGCGTCTACGAATAACACTGGTTCTTAGAAATGGAGATGAGCAGCATCTCCCAGAGTAGGACTCAACTAGATGTAATGTCAAGGGGAAACCTTTACCTTTACCTTATAGGCTTCCCTGATCTTTTTTAAACTGTTACCATGATAACAACCAATGATTTTTGATACCTTGGTTAAATTTCCTGTATTGTGTTTGTTTATGCAGCTTATAAGTGGTCATCAGTTGCCACCCAGCAGTCTCTCAAGGACTAATAAAGCCAACCCCCTTGTTGTAATAGAAATATATGGTGTTCCAGAAGATCAGACAAAACAACACAGTTGTGTGGTTAAGGGCAATGGTGAGTACCACAATATATAGATTGCTTAAAGTCTCAATAATTAAGAATTCAGTTAATTAACTTTCATAGGTTATTTGGCAGTTCTACCAATGTAGAGAAACAGCAAGGTACATTTTATAGAGAGGCAGTAATGCAAACATCATTGAGTAAAGCAGGAATGGCACAGAAATGTTAGTAATATTATTTTTTTTACATTTGAATGTATTGATTTTCTTCATATTTTGTTTAAACAGTATAACTCACCCTTTGCCAAACATGTATTAATACATATTTCTACATTTCTATATAGTATTATATAGTCTCCCATCCCAGCATACATAATCTTTTAATCACACTGAGAAGCAGATGTATTGCAAATTGAAATGACAAAAAGGGGAAGGGGAAAAAGAAGAACAAAGGAAAGGAGACATTAAATTGGGAGGGATATCCAATACTCCAGAAGATAGGAGCAGAATTCAAAACGATCTCAACAGATTAAAGAGATGGGCCAAAAAGATCTTGGAGTCCTCGTGGACAACAAGTTAAACATGAGCCAACAATGTGATGCGGCGGCAAAAAAAGCCAATGGGCTTTTGGCCTGCATCAATAGGAGTATAGTGTTTAGATCCAGAGAAGTCATGCTACCCCACTGTTCTGGCATGGACACACTATTCTGGAATACTGTGTCCATTTTTGGGCAATTCTGGGCACCACAATTGAAGAGAGATATTGACAAGTTGAAATGTGTCCAGAGGAGGGCGACTAAAATGATCAAGGGTCTGGAGAACAAGCCCTATGAGGAGTTGCTTAAAGAGCTGGGCATGTTTAGCCTGAAGAAGAGAAGTTTGAGAGGAGACATGATAGCCATGTATAAATATATGAGAGGAAGTCAGAGAGAGGAGGATGCGAACTTGTTTTCTGCTGCCCTGGAGACTAGGACATGGAACAGTGGCTTCAAACTAAAAGAAAGGAGATTCCATCTGAACATTAGGAAGAACTTCTTGACTGTGAGAGCTGTTCAGCAGTGGAACTCCCTGCTCTGGACTATGGTGGAAGCTCCTTCTTTGGAAGCTTTTAAACAGAGGCTGGATGGCCATCTGCCGGGGGTGCTTTGAATGTGATTTTCCTGCTTCTTGGCAGGGGGTTGGACTGGATGGCCCATGAGGTCTCTTTCAACTCTATGATTCTATGATTCTAAGGGAATGATGGTGCTTCAAGCTCAATAATTAGGGAGACAACAGGTTGTAAACTTGGAGCACAGGTGTTAATATACTGTCCTTTAATAGAATTCCCATTAACTGAGCCTTGGTTATATGAAGAACCATTTAACTAAAGCAGAAGTCAAAATTCTCACGCACCACATCCAGTCCTGGAGGGCTCCTGTGCAACACTTCTAAGGAACCTGCAAAATCCATTTCAGCTGAAATACTGTAATGATTTTGGCATCACTATTTCTATCCTCCCCACCTCTCAGAAGGGTTCCCAGAATAGACTAAAATGTTGTGTAATAGAAGAACCTGTGTGCCCACTTTCATCTAAAATCACTTCAGAGCTTCCTGGCCTTTTGCCACTTTATGCTATAGAACAGGGGCTTGAACTATGATTTTGTGGGACAACACAAGCGCCAGACATTGCTATCTTCCATGTATCAACCTTTTCATATTTTCTTTTTTTTTAAAGAATTCATTTAAGGAGAAAATTATGGCATAGCTGCACACTGCCTTTTGGTTATTTCTTAGGAGCTGTCTTTCTCAAAGTTTCATAGCTCGGATAGCATGAACTAATGATTGAAGATGAGATGAATTCATATAGAAATTTAGCATTTTTAGATTTTATTAATCTGCTTACCACCATCATCCCTCTGTATTCATGGGTTCTACCAACCACCACTCAAAAATATTCGGGTGGGGGGGATTAAAAGCCAATCTTGATTTCTTCATGTGCTGAACATTGTGTTGTTGTGTTGGCATGCTTTGCTGTAGTTTCACTTTGGGCCCTTCCACACAGCCATATAACCCAGAATATCAAGGCAGATAATCCACAATATGGAACCAGACAATGTTTTTAACAAGGAGACACTAATGACTTATTCTTTTATTGATGTTGTTATGGTTTTTATTATATATTAATGTTTTTAATTGTATTTATGGTATTGTGGGCATTGAATTTTGCCCTGGAAACTGCCTTGAGTCGCCTGTGGGCTGAGAAAGGTGGTAAAAAATACAGTAAATAAATAATAGATAAATAAATATCTGCTTTGAACTGGATTGTCTGAGTCCACACTGCCATATAACCCAGTTCAAAGTAGATAATGTGGGAAAGGTTGCCAGTTCAAAGCCCAGGTTGGAGTGAGCACCTGATTGTCAGCCCAGCTTACTGTTCACCTAAGCAGCTCGAAAACAGCTCGAGAGCTGTAAGTATAGAAATTAGGTACCGCTTAAAGCGAGGGAGGTATTTTACAGCACCATAAAAGGAAATACCAGAAATATCACACATGCCGGTGACCAGAAGGAAGGAGGAAGTCTGTGATGGAGTGACAACACCCCCCTGTGGCCGGAATTGAGCACAACCTCCAGGGCGTCAAAATTGGATGCCAACACAACATACCTCTGTCTGACTGTTTCTCCTGTCTGTTTCAACGACATTGAATGTTTGAAATGTATGTGTTCTGTGATCTGCCCTGAGTCCCCTTGGGGAGAGAGGGCAGAATATAAGTAAAGTATATTATTATTATTATTATTATTATTATTATTATTATTTTATAAAGCTCTGTGGAAGGAGCCATAAACTCTCTCCCACACTTGTTTGAGTTGTTTTTGTACAATGGATGGCATTTTACTACATCATTGTATACAATGGAACTTGACTGTTAACCAACCTCATGGATACGAAGGGCCAAATGTATTTGTTTTGACAATTATTCCTCTGTCCTTCAACCTGCAGGCTTTCAGAGTCTAATGCTTGTTCACCCAGGCAGAACTCTTACCAAAGACATGAAAGAAGTGAATTTGTCAAACGTATCACATAAAATATAACCTTTTGAAAATCTGTCCTAGGACTACAGGGAGAGTTGGGAGGTGTACTTTCTGATCAGGTCTCATTCTGTGATCACTGGAGACCTCACCTAGCCACTCTTCCTTTTGTTATTTCTCCTCTGTTATTCATGCAGAGTAGCAATGAATCTGAGAGAAAATTGTACCTGAGGTCCCTTCCACACAGCTGAATAAAATCCCACACAATCTGCTTTGAAGTGGAATATAGGGCAATGTGGACTCAGATAACCCAGTTCAAAGCAAATATTGTGGGGTTTTCTGCCTTGATATTCTGGGTTATATGGCAGTATGGAAAGGCCCTGAGAGTATGAGCTTCTCATCAGAGATTTTGCACTATGGTAAGGTAAGTTAGAGGAGATATGTCCATGGAGTGGTGGATTTCTGCCTTTTGTGACATTGGGTTGTATACTGTTAAATCCTGCCTACAGTAGACCCATTCCCCTCTAGAACAGAGAATGAATCCATGGGAATGATTCACCATTCAACCATTAATTGAAGAGGTCTTCTCGAGATGGAACTAACTAAAAGGGGGAGGTACCTCTAAAAATGGGGGAGGTGTTTTACAATGCCATAAAGAAAAAAAGATCAGAAAATGAGGAAGTCCCGGTAGCTTTTTGTCATAGAGGATGGAGCGACAGCACCCCCTGTGGACTCGAGCCCAACCATCCATGGCATCGCAAACATTACACCACCTCCTATTCTGTTTGTCTGTGTACTGTCTATACCAATGATGGGCAACCTTTTGAGCTTGGTGTGTCAATACTTGCCAAAAAAAATTAGGAAAATTCGGGTGGGGTGTCACTTCGAGAAAAAAACCCATAATTTCACGATATTTATAGTTTAATAACAAAAATATATTATTGTAATATATAACTGTATTTAATAAACCAAAAACTATATCTCGGCATTATAGAAAAATGCTGGTGTAGGAGCCGAGGATGAAATGTCCTTCTTGGGATGTGGCCCCATCTTCTCTGTATGCGGCCACATGCGACCGTGTGTCATRGAAAATGGCAGTGCTGACACACGTGTCATAGGTTCGCCATCATGGGTCTATACAAACAGCATTGAATGTTTGTCATGTATGTGTACTGTGATCTGCCCTGAGTCCCCTTCAGGGTGAGAAGGGCGGAATATAAATAAAGTGTTATTATGTGCTTTGAACTGGGTTATACGGCAGTGAGGACTCAGATAACCCAGTTCAAAGCAGATATTGTGGATAATCTGCCTTGAAATTCTGAGTTATATGGCTGTGTGGAAGGCTTTGAACTGGATTATCTGCTTTGGACTTGGGGCCCTTCCACACAGCCCTATATCCCAGAATATGAAGGCAGAAAATCCCATGATARCTTCTTTGAACTGGGTTATCTGAATCCACATTCAGATAATGTGGGATTTCCCACCTTGATATTCTGGGATATAGGGTTGTGTGAAAGAMCCCCTGGGTTATCTGAGTCCACACTGCCATATATTCCAGTTCAAAGCAGAAAATGTGGGATTTTATTCAGCTGTGTGGAAGGGACCTAAGAGCATCCTTATGTATTGTCAGATTTTCATATAAAAATGCCCAAGACATTTTAATAGGACACTAAGAAGCCTTTATTATAACTAAACCTAATTATTCTAAGAGTAGAAATTATGTAGTGAGAATTTTTGCTTAGCTAGCATTTTCCTTGCGCACGTGAGAACATTTTAGCACTGTATTCCTGCAGTTAACAAACCAGGTGAAAGTCATTGAAGAGATTATTGCTTGTTTTATATTGCTTTCTTTCTCTTTTTTAGCGTTGTGTCCTAAGTGGAATGAAACATTCACATTTAATATCCAAGTTCCAGAGCTTGCCTTAGTGCGATTTGTTGTAGAAGACCAGCTTTCTCTCACAGCCAATGGCTTCCTTGGCCAGTACACTTTGCCACTTTTGAGCATGAATAAAGGTATCAAAATGCTTAAAGCATAAGAGCCCTCTTGCATCTCTATCAATGTATTTTCCTCTTATGGGGAAGCATGGGAGCATTAAAGCCACAAGTTTTAAAGTGTGTGCTGCTAGGGCATATTGCAGGTTCTCTAAATGAGTCCTCTCATCTGCCTTGGCCATGTTATCTGGACTTGCTTTGTTGTCTAAAGTATCTTTGGAGGGTGCCAGATCAGGAATAGTTGTTCTTAGTAATATTGCTGCTATCAATACTGGCATAAGAAATCTTCAGATATGGTATTATTTATCTTATGATGCAGTTTCAGAATACAGATTGACTGCATTGAATTGGGTTGTTGTAGGTTTTTTTGGGCTATATGGCCATGAAAAAACCTACAACAACCCAGTGATTCCGGCCATGAAAGCCTTCAATGCATTGAATTGGATTAAATAGCAGTGTAGATTCATATCATTCAATTCAATGCAGTTAATCTGCCTTATATGGCAGCGTAGATCCAACCTATGATAAATAATATTTGAAGATTTCTGATGCCAGTATTATTAATATTACTAAGGCTAACTATTCCTGATCTGGCACCCTCCAGAGATGCTTTAGACTGTGTAGATGGGGCCATAGCCTTATTAGCCTGCAACCGTATGGTGCTTCAAAAAATACTTCAAAAAATACTTCAAAAAAAGCCAATGGGATTTTGGCCTGCATCAATAGGAGTATAGTGTCTAGATCCAGAGATGTCATGCTCCCCCTCTATTCTGCCTTGTTAGACCACACCTGGAATACTGTGTCCAATTCTGGGCACCACAATTGAAGGGATATGTTAATCAGCTGGAATGTGTCCAGAGGAGCGCAACTAATATGATCAAGGGTCTGGAGAACAAGCCCTATGAGGAGCAGCTTAAAGACCCGGGCATATTTAGCCAGCAGAAGAGAAGGCTGAGAGGAGACATGATAGCCATGTATAAGTATGTGAGAGGAAGTCATAGGGAGGAGGGAGCAAGCTTGTTTTCTGCTTCCCTGGAGACTAGGATGTGAAACAATGGCTTCAAACTACAAGAAAGGAGATTACATTTGAACATTAGGAAGAACTTCCTAACTGTGAGAGTTTTTCAGCAGTGGCACTCTCTGCCCAGGAGTGTGGTGGAGGCTTATTCTTTGGAGTCTTTTAAACAGAGGCTGGATGGCCATCTGTTAGAGATGCTTTGAATGCAATTTTCCTGCTTCTTGGTAGGAGGTTGGACTGGATGGCCTACTCTATGATTCTTTGATTTAAAGAGAACCAGTGTGTCCAAAAGGCCATAAAAAGAAATGGTTCTTAGATAATGCCCTTCTCCAAAACAGATACCAACAGTTTTGGTTATGATTGAATGTTTATCCTATTTATCTATTTTTTTAAGTTTATTGTGTATTTTTGTGGCATTGAATGGGTGCCTTTTATGTTATAAGCTGCCCTGAATCCCCATGGGGAGATGTGGCGGGATATAAATAAAGTTTGATTGACTGATAGGTGATGATACCTCAAAGCCTGTCTGAACTAATTTTTTCTTGTTGAGAGGAATAGAAGACCTTTTCTTAATAAACATTAGAATTAAACCCTATGGGGGAGAAATGGAGCCAAAAACCTCATTAAGTCTTCCAACTTGTCAGCAAGAACAAAGTAAACCTTTGGACATCTTCAAAGTTCTAGTGTTGATGCTTTCCATCCTCATGTCCAGATTCCCTTTAAAAATCCAGCTTGAGTTGCTAAATATTAATTTTCCGACAGGATTATTATGGTGATTTTTCACAGTTTTTAAATATTTGAGCTTCCATAAGTTTTGATGCAAATTTTAAAAGATGAATGCACATCTTTACAAGCTATTCAATTTGGTTTTTTTCCTATAGGTATTTTATTATACACTATACATCCTCATAGTTTCACTAAACCAGTTTAGCACTGGTTTCTTGTAGCTTTTGGGTCACGTTCAATTGTACTATAGTTCTTGTAATCTGTTTTGAGATGGAAATGTTGGTGGTTTGTTTGTAGTCACTCTGATTAGGCTGAAAGCAGTGACTGCTGTTGCAAGCCCAGTGATTGCTAGGTATGATTTTGGGCTGCTTCTCATCTGAATTGCTCATAGTTCTTGCCAGGGCAGCAATTCTACTGTAATGGGAAAGAGAAGGAAATGTTCCTTTCCAGAAGCAACTCTGTTTGCATGATTTTGCTTAAGCGGGAACACAAGAATATTAATGGTCTGGCTCAGCAGGAGGCAAGTAGATGTGGGTAACCTCTGTGTCAAGTCTCCCTTAAAGTTATTATTGCTGAAGTTATGCATAAGAAGATTTAAGTAGTTTCATGCTAGTTGTTGTGAGGCATCCCATTCCAAGGCTAACAGAGGTGCCCATAATGGCCAGAGGCTCACATGGAGTTCTGTAGCCAACTAGCATTGATGATATGAACCAAATCCATCTTCTTTCCCTGCGCATCTGGACAACATACTGGGCCAAATCAGACCTGCCCCAACTGTTCAGATTGCCCCAAAGATGGAGAATATTCCAGGCTTTTCAGCAAACTTCTGAATGTGGACAAAGTCATTTGAAAAAAACTTTGAGATACTTACTGGAAATAGTTATGTGTCATGTAGACAGTCGGTCTTCCTTTTGAGTTGAGTCCAAGGTTTTTGGCTAGTGTTAATAAATAAGCCCTGAGTCAGGTCATAGGTTTAGCTAGCTCAGTATTGTCTACACCAGTGGTTCCCAAGCTTTGGGCCTCCAGGTGTTTTGGACTTCACCTCCCACAGTTCCTAACAGCTTGTAAGCTAGGTTCTTGTGGGTTTTTTCGGGCTATAGAGCCATGTTCTAGAGGCATTTCTCCTGACGTTTCGCCTGCATCTATGGCAAGCATCCTCAGAGGTTGTGAGGTCTGTTGGTAAGCTAGCTGGGATTTCTGGGGGCTGATGTCCAAAAGATCTGGAGACCCAAAGGTTGGGAGCTACTGGTCTACACTGACTGGCAGCAGTTCTCTGGAGATTCAGATTCATATATTTTCTAGCTCTACATGGAGTTGAAATAAACTTGAAGGTTTTTTTTAAAAAAAATTATTTATTTATTGTGTCAGGCAACCAAACAATTGTATTACATTTCTAACAGAACAAAACAAACAAACAAACAGACAAAACACAAAATTTCCGATGTTGCCGCAAGAAGGTCCTCCATTGTGCATGTGGCAGCGCTCAGGTTGCATTGTAGCAGGTGGTCTGTAGTTTGCTCTTCTCCACACTCGTATGTCGTGGATTCCACTTTGTAGCCCCATTTCTTAGATGGCTCTGCATCTCGTGGTGCCAGAGCGCAGTCTGTTCAGCGCCTTCCAAGTCGCCCAGTCTTCTGTGTGCCCAGGGGGGAGTCTCTCATTTGGTGTCACCCATTGGTTGAGGTTCTGGGTTTGAGCCTGCCACTTTTGCACTCTCGCTTGCTGAGGTGTTCCAGTGAGAGTCTCTGTAGATCTTAGAAAACTATTTCTTGATTTAAGTCATTGATGTGCTGGCTGATACCCAAACAGGGGATGAGCTGGAGATGTCACTGTCTTGGTCCTTTCACTATTGGCTGCTACTTCCCGGCGGATGTCAGGTGGTGCAATACCGGCTAAACAGTGTAATTTCTCCAGTGGTGTAGGGCGCAGACACCCCGTGATAATGCGGCATGTCTCATTAAGAGCCACATCCACTGTTTTAGTGTGGTGAGATGTGTTCCACACTGGGCATGCATACTCAGCAACAGAGTAGCATAGCGCAAGGGCAGATGTCTTCACTGTGTCTGGTTGTGATCCCCAGGTTGTGCCAGTCAGCTTTCGTATGATATTGTTTCTAGCACCCACTTTTTGCTTGATATTCAGGCAGTGCTTCTTGTAGGTCAGAGCATGGTCCAGAGTGACTCCCAGGTATTTGGGTGCGCTGCAATGCTCCAGTGGGATTCCTTCCCAGGTAATCCTCAGAGCTCGGGATGCTTGTCTGTTCTTAAGGTGAAAGGCACATGCCTGTATTTTAGATGGGTTAGGGATCAGCTGGTTTTCCCTGTAGTAGACAGTTTTTTCATGAAAACTATATTACTTTACCTCTAAACTGCAGCCTTTCCTCTAATTCAGTGGTTCCCAAACTCTTTTGGCCTACCACCTGGAAATCAATTTTTCTAAATCTTCTCTTCTTCCTTTTATGTTTTCACTGCCCCCTTACAGTTATTCATCACCCCCACATGCAGCTATGGCCATTACCCCCACCCCACCCCCGGATTGCTGCAGTGCCCACTGGGGGGGGGGGGGTAACGCTTACTTTGGGAATCACTGCTCGAATTCATCAACATGCTCTGCTAGTGTATTTAGATACACCCCCCAATAGTTTACTAGGCATTAATTTTAATATCCTGGACATTTTTCTTCCCCTGAGAAGAAAAAATCACATAGCAAAGCCAGATAGGCAATAATGTTCAGTTGTTTTATGTGTGTACTTGTTGGGGGGGGGGGGGGTTACTAATTTAAAAGGTTTTGTCAAATATTATATAATACAACCATCTGCTAAGACAAACTATATGAAGAGGACAATTATGATGAATTTAAGACTATTAAGGCATGTTAAACTACTATCAAATGTCCATCACTGGGATGGATCAGAATGGGAAAGATTCTTAGTATTTTTGCAACAATGTTGGACAAGATTAATGTGTGAGGACTTTCCCCAATCTCCAGAGACAATCTTCTTGGTTGAGTTTGTACACAATGTCAGAGTTGAGACCAAATTTTGCCCCACTCAGGCCCTTTCTACATTGGCGTATAAAGTTTAGATTATCTGCTTTGAACTAGATTATATGGCAGGGTAGACTCATATAAGCCACTTCAAAGCAGATAATGTGGATTATCTACTTTGATAATCTGGATGAAATGGCAGTGTAAAAGGGACCTAAGATTTTGTGTCAAAGTTTTTGGCTTGTTACAGGCAAGTTACAACTGTGGCCCCTTCTACTCTGCCACATAATCCAGATTATCAAAGCAGAAAATCCACATTATCTACTTTGAAGTGGATTATATGACTCTGCTATACCATATAATCCAGTTCAAAGCAGATAATCTGCATTTTATATGGCAGTGTAGTTGGGGCCTGATACAAGTCTTAATTTGCCTCCTTGCTTCAATATCTCCTAAGGTATTTCCGTTGTTGTTGTTGTTGTTGTTGTTGTTGTTGTTGTTGTGTGCCTTCAACTCTTGTCTGATTTATGATGACCTATACAGCAGCTAAAACCTCATTTTTGTTGGCTGGTTTTAACCCCATTCTGACAACACAAGTTGCCCTTATTTGTTTAAAGCTGCTAAATGGAGATCAGAGTACATAGATCAGATTGGGGTGCAGTGTAGGGGAGATGAGGATAGTTGATGCATATATCTATGGCTAAGCTACATTGGTTTTAAGTTGATAAATTCCTATATATTTGTATTCTATTTTAATAGGACCAGACGTATGTTGTATATTGTATGTTGTATGTCGTGTTTGCACTGTCTGTTTTTGATAAGGCCAACTGGCTAATCAATAAAAATTGTTGTTGTTGTTGTTGATGACCTATCACAGGGTTTTCTTGGCAAGATTTGTTCAAAGCTGGTTTTCCCTTGGTTTCTTTCAAGTCTGAGGAGTGTTTGGCTCCTTCTACACTGCCATACAATCCAGATTATGAAAGCAGATAATCCACATTATGAGTTTACACGACCACATAATCCAGTTCAGAGGATACAATCTGGATTTTATATGGCAGTGTAGAAAGAGCCTTTGACTTGCCCAATGTCACTGAGTAGGTTTTATGGGCTATTTGCCAGATCCCTCCTTCTTTGCTCATTCCACTGCCCTACACTGGCTTTCAATATTTTCCATGATACCATTGCCAGTTGCACTCTCAAGACTGAACATTTCAACTTTTTTAGTGACTGTAAAATGGCAAAACAAGATCATCTATATGTTGGTTCACATGATAATCTTGTCTTGCAATACACTTATTCCTTTTCTATTGTATTTGCAGGTTATCGCCAGGTTCCACTGCTGTCCAAACTTGGTGTCAGTCTGCGACCTGCTTCTCTCTTTGTACATGTCTGGTATTTTAACTAATAATGATTGCCAACAGTGTCTCCCCAGCTGTTTTTTCCTCAGTAAAAACCATGATGGAATAATACAAGTGTGTTAGTGTTCTAAATTATTTTAGTTATGCATGTCAGTACTGTTTGGTAAATACAGAAGCAATATAAGGCGTTGCTAAATAATAGAGTGCATCCCTTCTGTTTTGAGTAACTGCCAGAAAGATGCTTCAGAACTCACAAACATGGTTCATGACGGTGGCAGCATTCCTAAATGTTGTTTAGCTAGCATGGCAAATAACAGCTGGTAGGCCTATAGATATTTTAAAAGTATGCAAACCAATTACCATCTTCACATCTTACAGCAGTGAATTCTATTTGTTAATTAAGTGTTTTTATGATGCACAAAATGTTAAGTCTGCAGTCCTTCAAACATCCCAGACCTCTCCAGTTTTCAAAGCTGTGCCAAATTGCTCAGAGGCAGAAGACATGCATGCAAACAGATAATAAGAGGTGATTTAACATGAGATACATTTTTATTGACTTGCAGAATGAGATATGTATAATTTGGGAAATATTGAAACAGATGTGGCTTCCTTTCCTCTACATCTTTAGAAATAGGCTTGGCAATGTGTATAATCAGTGCCATCTAGGACAAATGGCTACTAGGTTTTTGTTTTTGTTTTGTTTTACAAGAATCTGTTTGTACAGTGCCTCTGTGGTATACTTTCCAAAGCTAGTAAGATAAAACAGTTCCTTAAGAAAATAGTTTTCAATTTATAACTTACAGACAGGGCCAAGGTCAAACAACATGGTGTTCAGTCATGTATAGCTGGTTTTCATTTTTTACACGCAAACTGTAAATGGATTTACTCTTAAATCAAAGATGTGCCCGCTATAGGGTGTTGAGTAAGGCCAGGAGAGGAAGTTATGATAAAGGTGATTTTATATCCCCCTTCCCTAGAAACAGGATTCAGTATGACTTACAAATGTTTAAACAAAATTATTAAAAACACACACAAAGAAGCAATTGTTAAAAATACAGTAGGCTCTCTGCTAGGCTTGTGCATTTCGGCTGAACCTCGATCTGTTTCTGCTGGCCGGAAACCGGTAGACCCCCTTATCCGTTTTTGCGTGCTTCCCAAAATTGGAAAGGTAGCTGGATAGCTGTTTTTGGTCTGTACTCAATAAATGAGGCTAGATCGACCTCGTTGGTGGCAATGGGGAACTGTTTCCATTCCTAGGACTCTTTCCTTTTTTCCCTTCAAAGGAGACTGGGTTTCAGCAACAGAGTTAAGGAAGGACCCTTCCTGGTACCCTTTTCTTTTTTCCCTTGAAGTGAGTCTGGATTTCAGCAATGGAGTTCGAAAAGGCCGCCCTGAGTCCCCCTGTCCCCTCCCGGGGGGTGAGAAGGGTGGGGTATAAATATAGGAAATAAATAATAATAATCAAAAATATATGGCCCATTATGGGGGAGGGGCTTCCAAGGCTCCCCTTCCTATCATTTTAGGCATCGTTTGTCCTTATATCCTTCATTAAGACCTGGATTAAAACATCAGAGTTGAGATACCACTCTTTCTGCGATCCTGTCCCTTCTCTCTGTAGAGGAGACTGGTTTTAATGCTTTGTTAAAGCTGCTTCTGCTCTAGATGAGAGGTGTTCCAGCCAGGTGTGCATGATCTCTCTCCCTGGAGCATGCATGCACAGCTTTCCAAGGCATTTTAAAATAAATAAAATAAAATAAAATAAAGTTTAAGGAGGCCCAAGGAAGGAAGCACAATGACCTGGAGCTATCTATCATGGACTTTCTTTTTAAAGCCCCCTTTTTTCTCTACTGCAGGCCTTGCCTGGAGTAGCACACTTCAGTCTCCTTTCTGCTTCGGGTTATTGCTTCCTTAAAGCTGTTTCTACTTTCTACCCTAGAGGAGAGGTAACTAGGTAGTAGCAGTAGTAGTTGTTGTTATATTATTATTATTTTATTATTATTATTATTATTATTATTATTATTATTACTATTATTATTACTAAATTACTATTTTATCTTTTAGAAGTATATTCTGAAGGAGAGGAAGGGAACTCTCCAAGCCCCCAAACGCGTTGGTGTGCACACCATCTACTTGTCCCACACTTCCCCAACTCCCAGTCCCACTAAAGAAAAAGAATCAAGAAAATAAAGAAAAATCAAAAAAGATTCAATAGTAGTACCAAATAGAGGAGGAGGAGCCACGACTGGCTTCTGCATGGTCCCATTACAGATGGAAAATCATGACGGCTGGGCCCTTGCCATTACAGCCTTCTGAAGAAGCCGAAGACACCAAAGGAAATGGCTAAAAAACATATTTGCGCTCAAGCCTACTCTCTGCCTTCATTGTAACCATCTGAAGAGTAACCATTCTGAATTCAATAGCAAAGTCCAAATTAGAGAATAATCATTGAATCATTTGGACATATTTACATGTTAACTCATCATTCACTATTTAAATCAATGGACCTGTTTTAGTTGGAACTGATCCTCAGGATTCTGGCCATACAAATCCACTTTCTTGGATTTTTATCAGAGCCTCTAATGCATACTGGCAGGCAATTAAACAACCAATTACACAGCATCAAGTATTAAATAGAAGGATGGTTTGTTGCAACTACCACGTGACTACATGAGTGTAGATTTACACTACCCACCTACAATTTAGGAACATGTCCAGTCATCCGGATGTTTGCACCCACTTCTGTTTGCCATCCTGATTTTGCTATCTTATCACAACATAGTAGGTCCTGGCATTATCCTGAAGTTCCAAGCATTTAAAACATAATGCTCTACAGGATGTTTTAAAATACATGAAAGGGAGAATTTGGCCAGATGGTAAAGTCAAAGGAAACATAGGGATGTTGAAGAGGGCAGCAGGGACAATGAACTACATGTAAGAGCTACATTAGATTGGCCTGAAGACACAATAGAGGAAGACTTTTCTCAATTCCAATTGGTAATTCTATATATTTGGATCTCAATTCTATATAAAATAACAAGGTAGATGTTTTTTCAGCCTTTAAAAACAGAATGCAATCAACAGTTACTATACTTCTCTCAGATGTTTTCTAAAGCAGCTTCATATGACCGAGAAAGTTGTTGGGTTTTTTGTCAGAAATGGCAGCTGAGAATGAATCAAAGTGGGTGCCAGTTGGAGTGGGAGGTGGGCACAGTGAAACTTTTTCTGTCTTCACAGAAAGCAGTTTAATGACCCAGACAATTTTTAACAACCGGTTGGGCAAACAGGTGCAATCCAGCTGAATGGCACTACTGTTTCTGAACCAGACAAGCCATATGTTTGATGACCACTGGGCAGAAATTACATGTTGTTATTGCCATTTTATTTTAATTACTAGTGAAAATAACTGGCTTTTTATGGATTAGAGCCATACTTGGTTCATACCCCTTCAGGCAAAGTTACACAGTTGTCATATTTTGACACTATGCCCACTCATTCTAAGTGAAACTGTGGATCTAGTTATACATTTTGTGCATAATTGATACACTTTAGTGGAATTAAGAGTTCTTTTGTCTGATGCCCCTTCAGCCACCCTTCCTGTTCTGATTGTTGTAGTGGCCAGTGGGTGCTACATGGCTAGTGCCTTGTCAGTTGTTGTCTGGAGTGACATTGACCAGGGCTCCAGAGCAATATAGGAGGGTGAAGAAGAGGTTTTACCCTCTTTTCTCCCTCTTCCCTTCTCCAGTTGCCTCATCGCTTCGGCTAGGATCACTCTAAGCAACGAGCAACAAATACTGCATCTCGTGGCTACCACAATGAGAATTGCAGGGGGACAGTTTATTTGTATTTACTGCATTTGTATACCGCCTTTCTCAGCCTATCGGCGACTCAAGGCGGTTTACAACAAATCAGTACACATAATATCATAGTACAAATTTAAACATTAAAAACAATATAAAACCATAGCAGAAGCAATAAAAATCAACAACATAAGCATCTCCTTGTTAAAAAACATTATGCAATTCCGTTGACTAGTCATTCGGTTTCCTATGTAAGTTACTCTGCATTTGTAAACGCTTGCTCAAACAACCATTCTTTAACTTTTCTCCAAAACATTAAGAGAGAGGGGGGCAATCTCATATCCCTAGGGAGGGCATTCCATAGTCGAGGGCCACGACCGAGAAGGCCCTCTTCCCCGCTAGCCGCACTTGTGTTGAAGCCGGGATCGAGAGCAGGGCCTCCCAGGAAGACCTTAAAAGTCCTAAATGGTTCATAAGGGGAGATGCGTTCGGACAGGTAAACTGGGTCAGAACCGTTTAGGGCTTTATAGGCTAAAGCCAGCCCTTTGAATTGTGCTCAGTATCAGACTGGCAGCCAGTGGTGCTGGCGAAACAGAGGAGTTGTATGCTCCCTGAGCGCCACTCCTGTTAACAATGTGGCTGCCGATCGTTGGACCATTTGAAGCTTCCGGAGAGTCTTCAAAGGCAACCCCACGTAGAGCGCGTTGCAGTAGTCTGTATTCTGTGTTTCTAGTCAGCCCAAGGCTGCAGTATTTGAGATGGCCATGTAAACAGTTGCAGCTGGCTCCATCTCAGAATCAGCCCAACTGCTTACATGAACCCAGAGAACTTGGGGCAACCCACAACTTTTGTTAATGTGGTTCAAAGCTGCATTAAGCTGCCTTTCTAGGGTTAACTCAAATCACTTCTATACAACATTCAGCTGGCATGGAACTTATTTACCCCTGGCCTTTCTAGAGAGGGCTTTCCAAAATTTAAGAGTAACCACTAAGAAGGCCCTCTATTTTGTTCATACCAAAGTAGCATGAGAAGGTAGAAAGAGAGGATGGTCTCTCCAAATAATATAATAATATACTTTATTTATATTCTACTCTATCTCCCCAAGGGGACTCAGGGTGGATTACAGAATGCATATATGGCAAACATTCAATGCTGTTATACAAATTAACAAAGACAAACAGTACATAGACAGAGGGAAAGCTTCCCTCTGTTTTTCTGATTTCTGGCATCTGGAGGCTGTGCTCGACTCG